TTCCCTCCTGTTCAGCGTCTAAAAAGTCCTCCGGGCGGATGCCGTGGGGAAAACGCGGAGGCCGAAGCATCAACTCGCAGGTCCCACGCCGGGCACGTGGGGAATTGCAGAAAGTTTTACAGTGAAGCATCCCTTAAAACTATAAATATGTATCTGCTTCTCCGCCCCCCGCCCATATTTCATTTTCACTCTTAAAAACTTTAGGGTGCCAAGCAATGGTTATTCCTAAAAGTCTGGTGGGCTTCTTTGCAATCTTTATGCCTGCCTATTTGTTAAACAGCTAAAAATACATATATATCTATATCGCTCTCAAGACATTTAAGAAGTACTTGGAGAAAATTATTCATCATTATTTCCGTGGATGAATTCAGATTCTTTTTTAATTTGACTTTTCAGCAGATGCAAGTAGGAAAGAGAGACTACAGCGTGTTGTTCAGGCTCAGCCCGCCTGGTTAATTTACCGTACAAGGCCAGAAAACCAGGTTGCTCGGCTAGGGGTGCGTAGGATCCCGTGCAAGGCCAATCCTAAGCGCTTTTACTAAATGGTGGAAACTCGGTTTGTGCCGAGCCTGGCGACTCTATCGGTGCAGCAGGCGTTTCCCAGGGCAGCGGTGGAACCAAGGGCTGCCTGCTCTCTGTCGGGTGGGGGCCCCCATTCCAGATGGGGACTTTGCCCCCCAACGGGGACCCTCTCGAGGGCTGGGCCTGACCCTGGGAAGGTCAGAACGCAACTCGATCTTCCCCAGGCTGGTGCCCTCCAGAACACTGGCTGGGAACTGGGAATTTGGGAAGCGTAGTCCCAACGGGGGGGGGACGCGGGGGGCACGGGAGGCTGACCTGCCATGGCTTTGTCCTTCCCCGCCTCAGTGCTCTGGAGAAAGAGACTTTCCGTTCACAGATGCACATTTCCCCCCTTAACAAGAGATTTGCTGGCCAGGCTGTGGGCTCCAGCTGATTCAGGACTGGCGGCAGCGAGCAAAGCCCTGCCAACGTCAGATGTGGCTGGCTGGCTATGTGGGGGCAGTTGGGACATTCTGCCTGATCCATCTTCGGTTGCAAGGAGGGAGCACTGGTCACATCGTCCACGCGCAAGGAGGTGGGATGCTAGGGCACACGCCGGGGCTGCCACGTCTCCGCAATGAGAGGAGACAGAACCGAACCTAAGCAACTTTCCTCCGCTCAGGGTGCGCCACTGGCTTTGCACAGGTTTACAGTCGTGGAAAGCGGAGCCAGGGCCCTTGGAAGGGTGGCTCCAGCCCCCACCACCTGCAATCACGGCGCGGCGCACGGTGGAGGTGCGGGTCCATTCGTTCCCTGCAAATTCCTTGGTCCACCATAAGGTCTCTGGGATTAGGAGAGTCAACCGAGTGTCGATGGAAAGATGGAGGGTGGCTTTGAGCCAGCCCACCAGAGTCGGTTCAGTCGATCCCCACATCTGTCAGGATTCTGCTGCGGTGGAACCTCTGGATTTGCCAAACAGACTGGGGAGAGGGAGATTTGCAAACACACGAGATTTAATTAAACCAGCATGTTTGAAGTTCTTTAAAGCGTGACTGTAAGAAGTAACGTCGTAACAGTGCCCCAGGCCTGGTGGGCCTCTCTGATTTGGGCTCGCTGCCCAAGGAGGGGCAGTACGGGAAAAACAGTTATAATACAGGAAACAGACGGAATCCAATCTGTACAGTTCGCTTGTAGGGAAAGGGCTGAAAACCCAATTCTTCCACGGCCCCCCCAGCTGAACATCCAGGGGAGGGGGCTGGACTGTCATGGAATGGACGTGCTTTTGGTGCAAAGACCTTCTATTACGATATTCTACATTTTACCAGCTTAGCTCATATCTGTATGAGGTTAACATTCTGAGGAAAACATTGTAAGATTCTCCACCACGAGACGTTACAAAACCAGAACCTTAACAAAACACAAACCGAGGAAGAGGTGTAATAAAGTCAGGAGTGTGGTTTTTGTGAAAATACCAGCTTGTTTGAACATCTGTACAAAATCATCTCAGCTCCAGGTGAAGGCAGAACAAACCAGTTCCTGTAGAAACTCCCCCCGGACAAGGCTCCTGGGGGCACAGTCCAAGCCCCACGGCATTCGGAGGGAAAAACCCTTGATTTGCTTTCCCTTCCTGGTGCCTAGTCAGTTGGACCCCCAAAGGCCCACAAGGTTGGGTTGGAGTCTGGGGGATTTCAACCACAGCACAGCTCCAGTTTCTCCAGCATGCATCTTATGCTGTTTAGAAAGGGCGACAGTACCTGTGGCTGGGTGGATCCTTGGAGATGGAGGGCAGGCGACCCTTCTGGGATGGGGGCCTGGCTGCAGAGGGTGCGACAGGAGACAAGGAGGGCACGGGACCGGAAAAGCTGCTGCCATCCTCCAGGTCCCGCTCTGGGGCATTCTGCTGTGAACCTCGGATGCTGCCTTACATGGGGCCAGGTTTGTGACTAGCAAGGATGGCGGGCACAAAGTGAGGCCTTGGCTACCATCTGCAGCCATCTGGTCCTCGTTTGGGGAGACACCAGCATCCTGTGGCCACTGAGCTGGGCCCTGGGTGTAGCGGGAGTGCTTTGGCAGTGATTGGCTAAGGTGCCCACTGAAGGGGTGGCGGGCGAATAGGATGATGTGGGCAGGGCTGGCGAGAGAGCTGCAGGGGGCCAAGAGTTCCGGAGCCAGAGGAAAGGGGTGCAGGAGCAGCAGCCGAGGGACAGAGGGCAAGAGGCCTTCAAGGGCACGCGGGCTAGAACAGGAGCAGCCCCGAAGAGCAGGCGTTCGGGAAAGTCAAAAGTGGGGAGAAAATGGGCAGAGAGAGGTCCAGAGCAAGAATGGATTCACAGACTGTGCAGAAGTACAAGCGGGCAAAAGCTACAGGCCGTTCTTGGAACTTGTCCTGAGACCTTTACGCAGGGTGGGTACATTGGTGGAAGCCAAAGGAGCAATCAAATGTGCAGGGACCACCAGCTGCTCAGCAAAAATCTGGCGCAGAGGATGCTCTCCCGGTGATGGCCGCCTTCCCTCCTTGGTTGGCACCCACTTACCAACTGCAAACCGCCTCAGTCCCGCTCTGGGCAGAGTGATTTGAATTCTAGTGCCTCCTTCACTGACCCGTCTTCCAGCTCAGGTCGTTGGCTCTTTTGGCACATTGAAACAGATGGCACGGCGAGGCTTTGTCCCAGTTCAAGGAAGCAAGTTTCCGAAGTGCAGGGAGAACGGCACAGCCGTGGTCCTCGCGGGGCCTCCCTTTCAAAGGACACGTGTCGCTGGCCACACCTGGTGTGTCTTATTTACAGTAAAAGGACCCACAGCTCCAGGGAATGGGGACCAGCCGCTTGGCCCAGACGGTGGGTTTCCCTCCCAACCTGGAACAGAGGGATGCAGACGCTTTGCCCTGCGGCCTGCTCGCCTCCTGACTGGCAAAGCTCCGCAGGGCTTTGCTGCCCGCTCACTTCATCTGCTCGATCTGCTTCTGCAACTCCTCCTTGTCCAGCTTCATTTTCGATTCCAGGACCTGCTGCAGGGAACCTATGCTCTCGTAGATGGTGGAGAGTCCTTGACGAGGGAGAAATTGGGACACACTTGGCCACCCCTTTTCCAGAGGAGCAATCAGCCTCACCTTTGGTGGGCCTTTCTCTTCCAATGCAGAAGCAAGCCGCCCCCCTGCCCCGTCCCCAAAGGAAAGGCGTGCAGGGAGAGAGGGCGCAGCCAGGAGACGTCCTAGCGATGTAATGGGGAAAGAGGCTATCCCGTTACTCAGAATGTCCCCCCGTGGCACCTGTTGCTGGCTGGGACACCCCCGTTCTCCTTACCAGCGCTAACCTCTGCCTTGACTTCTTTGATGTCCTCGGTGAAATCTGTCTGAAGTTTGCTGAGCTGGACACTCATCTTATCCTCGGCCTGCTTCGCCTCCTGTTCCTGGGCTGCAAATTTCTGCACAGCTTCCATTTTCTCCAGCTTCCCATGGATCTCACTCAGCTGCATTTCCAGGGCTCTGCTGTCCATTTCCTGTGGTCAAACCAGTTGAGACTCGCAGTTAGAGAAACAGCCCCACGGTGACTTTCTAGGCCTTCCTCCGTCTGCCCTGTTCTAGGGGTCTTCCTCTGGGCCCGGGGAGCACGTGGAAAGTGCCAGCCTCCTCCTCTGGGAGGAGGACTTGTTCTCCCTGAGGGAAACCGTCCTTTCCCATCAGCTCTGAGGAGAACCTCGAGTCAGTTGGTCAACTTGTTCACCTCTTGGCACATTGAGCGAGGCTAGGGCATCACTGCTTTCCAACAAACCTTGGTTAAAACAACTGTGGCCTTGTGATGGGTGAACCCAGTCTGTAGCCTCACCGCCTTTTTGCATCAGGAAACAACTGCAAGCAGCCCCTTCTCTTGCCCCAGGATTGGGGATCCTTTTCAGGGGCCAAAAGAAGACAGTAAACGTACACTTTTCTCCTTAATGGCCAGAGAGAGGTGGTCTATCTTCTCCAGAAACTTCTTCTCAAAGCGCTCCTGCTCCTGCTCCATCCCACTGCGGGCAGAGGAGATCTGGCTAGTGAGGTGATCAATGGCCTCCTGTAATCTAGTGGAATAAAAATAATTCAGGCCCCCGTCTGAAGTGGCACCCCCTAAATAAAATAAGCAAAAGGCATCACGAAGCTCAAATGGAACGCTTGGGTACCCAAGAAGCTGCTGTGACCAGAACTGAATTTCCTTCCCCAGATGCGCACGTAAGGATGCTTTCAACAGCAGCACGTGGGGTGGCCCTGCTACGGCCAGTGGGGAAAGCTGCGTGTACCCCCACAGGCTGGTCCTCGGGCGGGGGGAGAACCTACTTGGCATCCAGAAGATGGAGCTGCTGGTTGCTCTCTTTGTAGGCCAGCTTGAGCTTAGCATCTTGTTGCATCACGGATTGCTCAATTCTGCTCAGAAGATGAGAAATCTGGCAGGGAAGAAAAGTCAGATGATGGCTTCTTCTACCTTTAATTCCAGGCTCCAAAGACATACAACTCTAGTCTGGCTGGAAGCTGATCAGAACTAGGGGGAAAGCCCTAGGCTCTCAAGTAGGCTGTCCTCCAAACCGCTTTGAAACCGTTGGCTTCTGTAGCAATCCAAACCGCTGGGATCCTTTCGGCCAGCAGTGTTTGGCGGCTTGGTCTCTTCCCTGCAAAGGGGGGCACGGCCTTGCTTCTGCGCAAGCCCACCTGCCCACAAAGGAAGGGGCATTCTCCCCGAGGAGGCCTCTCCGGACTGGTTGGACTGCAACTCCCCCACACCCCAGCCAGCAGGGGGGAGGTAGCCCAACGCCCCAGAGGCCCCTTGCTTTGGAAGGGCCGCTGCATGGCTCCTTCCATGCCCACGTGCAGCAGCGCAGCAGCGCCGACGATTCACTGCCTGCACTGCAGAGTTAGAGCACCAAAAGAACATGGGGGGGGAGAGAGGGAAGCACCCACGTAGCCATCCCACCCCCCAAAATTGCCCAAGGCTTCTCTCAGCAGGGCTTGGGCATCCACTCAAAGGGCCCGCTGGATTCACAGGAAGGCTGTGGCTGATGGGAGGAATCCAGGAAAACAGTCAATCGATCAGTAAGTCTGCAGAGTGTCTCGCAGGCCAGATCCACTCCAGCATAGCCGTCGCGGCACCCGAACTGTGAGGATTCCAAAAATAAATCCAAAAGAGCTCTCCATTCGCCAGGGATTTGACAGCCTTTTTCCTGACACGGGAAAGCCGCAGATGGGTAAAATCTGATGTGCTGGAACAGCACGGGATCCCTGTTCCATTCTGACTCACGCAGACCAGGGGCTGCTGAGTAATGCGGGGAGAAAATGATTTCATGCATTTTTACGGAATGATTCTTCTTGCCACCATGCTTCCAGATGGTGAGGGGGCCTGGGCAGAGCAGGCGAGCCCGCAGGAGCGGTGGGGGCGGAGGAGGACGCTGCGGCCTTTCCCTGACCGGCGGGCGACCGTCCTGAGGCCCCGACCCAGAACGGGCCCAGGGCGCTTCGAAGGTCCTGCCTTCCTTATGTGAAATGCTGACACCCCCCTTTCCTCAGCTAGCAACACAAAGACACCAGTCACCCAGCATGTGCATAACCATTTTGTGCAGTAATAACAATAATAATAATAGTGTAGCTATGCAGCATCCAAGAATGTAAAAAGAAACTGCGCTCCTCGCTATCGCGTTTCCCATAGCAACTGAGGCCACCACGGAAATGAAGCCTCCATTTATAGCCTTCCTACCAGGGAGGATTTGGCCACCACAGAGAATCGAGGGAGGGACTTGGGATCCAGCCCTCTCCCCCCTCAAAAGCCGTATAAGTGGCCGAAATTGGGCCCGGAATGCACTGAAACTGATTTTGCTCACATATTCATTCATTCATTCATTCATTCATTCATTCATTCATTCATTCATTCATTCATTCATTGTTGTGCTCCTGAACTTCGGCTTCAAACTT